CAGTAGCTAACACAAGTCAAAACAAAAAGAGGGGTTCTTGGATGTTACTTAGGGGTCACTGGTTGGGCAGAAACCTGCTAACTGACCTTTAGGAAATTTGTGTAAAAAGAAAAAAAACTTTCCTAATACACACAGAAAAACCCTTTTTCAACCTGAAAAACTGTTAAAAAGGACAAAGTGGATCCTTATGAAAAACACGGGACGTTTCACAGTAAAACAATTACACAGAGGTAAACCGAAAAACTGCGCCAAAAGTAACCTTGTTGCTGACGCAAAAATCACTCCTATCAGCACCGCTAAACGATCCACGTTATACACGCAATCTTTACTGCAACCACCTAGAACCGTTTACACAAAAAGTCTGCTGGACGTGAAACACGCGACACAGCAGCTTAAAACAAACCCGCTTTACAATAAGGGAACTACTTTTAACAGGAAAAACACAAGAAAAACATAATCACTATACAAGAAATCTATGTGCAAAAACCCAGACTTCACCGCGCTCATTAAATGTGGAACACGTGAAGGGAAAACTCGCTTAATACACACTTTAAATTGGCTGGCAATACGCAAATTTAAAGCTAAAAGCAAACAAATGAAACTGTAAAAAATTTGGATTAAAAACACAATATGGGTCAAATGCATATAGGAAACTTCATGCACATTGCATAGAGATTACTGCACATTTGGTAGCCAACAAAAAATGGCCACCAAACAAAAGGAGTCCATGTGGTTTAGTCAAGAAAATGACCCCCCACAGAGGAGCACATGGCAGTCAAGAAAAATGACCCCCCACAGGGAGCACATGGCAGACACTAGAATGACCCCCCACAGGGAAGCACACGGCAGACTCTAGCCTCAAAATTGCCTCTCTACATAAAACAGACTTTTTTAGACAGAACATACACTGGACAATTACACAACAATATGAAGCACACATACAACACAATTTGGGCACAATCACAGAACGGACATAAAACACCAACATATCACACTAACATGCACATGTAACAGAAAGGACCCCCTGCTGCATGCTTGCTGGGAGCAGTAGTACCACAAAACATTGTACAGACCACATACACACAGAGATCTTACAACAGTTAACAATTAACCTAAGCCTTTCAGCACTGTAATAATTACCTCACGTGGAGGGGGGTAAAGCAATCACCACAGTACCTACAGCCCACAAATACTTACCTAACACTATGCAACAACTTTTACCCACTAAAACATATACCCGTTTAATTTTTGGTTGGAAGATTTTTTAAACTTGACCAAAATCCAGCCAACCAAAACCCCCCCCTCTGCTGCTGCTCTCGCAGAGACAAACCCTTGTCTTTCACCCACAAAATCAAGAGTTTAGGACAAAAAACGAGGTCCTTGTTAAGCGGTATTTCTTGTTAGCTAACAGAGAGCGAAATCAGCCACACGAACACGCAAAAAGCGATCCTCTTAATGGCAGAGAGACCTGAAATGTGCCGGCATACTTTTTGCTAGTTCATGATGGCCATTCCCCCCTCGTTCTTGGTTAGCTACGCAAGAATACGCGTTAGTATCCACCAGGCTCGCCAAACTGTCTTGGAAATTCGCTTTAACGAATTTCTCCTTACCGTGAGTACTCGCAGTTGGATGCGCAGAAATCCCCCATAAAGCTGTGCGAATCTCGCTTACCACGACTGCAGCCAAACTACACGATTCCTGCCCATCCAAATACTTTGGTTCTGTTGAATTTGTGGGTGATGGAGCTCCGTTACCCTAGAATGATCACACGACACTCTAAGGCTGGTTGCAATCCACATAAGGGCTGATTTTAGGCTCAGCTCTCTGTTTTATTAAGAATACACACATGCCCCCCCACATGAATAAAGTCAATCCCTCCCACCGAACAATGCAATGGGGATTGCCTATACAGAGGATGTACATTCCAATTGGAGCATAGCCTTTGCTATTATCTATCACTGGTCCTCCCCCATGAACCTTCTGAGGTCAGCAGACTTCCTCCCCTTCCCCCCTATGAGCCATCTGAGGTCATATTTCCTGTCCTACTAGCTTCTATTGGTATGTAAAATTCTCTGCACAAGCACTCCCTAAAAATATCAGTCTGTACCTGGATGGGCCCGATACGATCTTTATTAAAACACATCCATCCCAGATACAGTTTCAAGTTGGTAATGGGTTGTAAGATATGCATAAGCCTACACGTGGAGTTCACACCGCTTGCGCATTGCGTTATGAAGCCCACGTGGTACCATGCTGCTGCTGATATGTGGATACAGGCCCACGGTCTACTGACAGCAGCATTCGCATGGAATGCCGTGGTGGTATACACGCCGGTCTATAAGCGCAGATCTGCCATCTCATCCATTACCAAGCCGAGTACTGTAATACATACATTGTACATGCGCATGGCCCAATTGCAGCCTTCAGAGCTTTAATTAAGCCACACGAGAGACATATGAATAACTTTCCCATTAAAAAACATCTCCCATCATCACTTACCTTTCTATTTTTACCGAAACAGTGAAATGTAACAACATTGTTGTATAAGTGGAAATTGCAGGGCATATTAGTTTGTAGAAGAGTCATATAACAAAACACATGTCATGAAACCTATAAGTTGTTTGTAGGTGGGGCCTACCTCGGCCATGAACTAGGGGTACCTTTGTCCACGGGGGCACTCACCAATGCCCAGGACCAGGCAGGGACTGAGATCATGTTAAAGTCTGACATTAAAGTGGAGTTCCACTTATGCTGTAAAAAAAAATAAACATCAGCAGCTACAAAAACTACAGCTGCTGACCCTTGATCCCGTGATGTCCACCCCGGCTGGCCGGTTTTCCTGATTCCGGCATCTTCAGTGTGGGTACCCAGCTGTGACAGCTTGAGGCTTCACATCCGGGTGCCCACTAGCGCTGTGCTTTCTTGAATGGTCCCAAAGTCTTCTGGGACCTGTCATGTGTCCCAGAAGACTATGAGGGGGGAGGCCAACTTCCGTTCTGATCTCCTAGGCCAGTAGTCTTCAAACTGTGCCCCTTTGCTTGCTTTTATCTGACCTTTGAAGCACTACTTCATCCACTGGCACCGACAATGGGGCAAAATTTCCTCTCCATCTGACACCAATGAAGGGGCTCAATTCCTCCCAATGACTAATAATGGGGCACACTTCTGCCTAATGACACCAACAATTGGGCCTAAAAACATCTATAATGGGGCATAATTCCTCCCATGGACACCAATGGGGCACGATTCCCCAATGACGCCACAATGGGGCACAGTTCTTCCCATTAGCACCAAAAATGGGGCATTGTTTTCTCCCACTGATACTGGGACATTTTCTATTCCTGATGTCCACAGTCCGACCCCTCTAAAGTCTGAAGAACAGTGAACTGGCCCTTTGTATATAAAGTTTGGAGACCCCTGGCCTAGGCGATCACCGTCAGTTTCGAACACCCAGGTGCCAATCCTTAATGGGGAGTGGGGGACCAGTCTTTAAAACGGAGCTTCCCCCTTTGGGTGAAGCTCCACTTTGACGCAGTTCCCTGACTAAGAGATGAGCCTTCACTGCTCGTAGTATGGAGCTGAGTCTCTCATTTATGTGGTGTCACATAGCTTTACAAACCATGGCTTCTACTTGTTGCATTCAGAATGGCCAAGCCGCGCAACCTCCACCAGCCACTGTACCTCTGAAGCGCCACCCCCGAAGGAACCGCTTGGTAATTTTGGGTTCTCTGTTCTGTGCCTCGACTCCAAGAACAACCTCAGCCCTTCTGACACAAGGAATAAAATCACTGCGAGCACAAGACACAACACAAGTATGAAATACTTTTCGCCTGGCTGTGGGGTATTGCCAATGAAAAAATCACAGCCATTTAGTGGTAAACGCACTTAATCTAATGAAATAGATTTGCATAAATGTTGGAACAGGATTGAACACACATCAGGCAAGTTTGGCCACTGTCTGCTAAACAAAGTAAAGGCTATTAGTAGAAAATGGAAAAGATGAGTTTCTATGTCATTAGCCAGAATCAATATATCAATTAGCAAGTCGGCAATAAACAATGTATTCAAACTCTAAATGCAGCAAGAATGATTATTCTTCTACTCTAGGTTTTGAGTGCACTCCAATGAATGAACGGTGCTCCTTAACTAGCAGACAGGTAAAGACTTTATGGCTATGGGCAGCCTTTAGTCCTGACTCTTTTCAGGCTAAAACGTTGGAGCTCGTTCGTGCGCATTAAGGCAGTCAATGAGGCCTGCAGGACGTAACTGGTAGGTAGTTCCTAATGGCTCAGTCTCTAGGAGCAGTAGTGGACAATAGCTGCACAGTTCTCTCACCAGACCCAGCGACACAGCAGCGGCGATCCCTCCAATCGGATATCTGTGCACTCTGGGTTGAGTGTGGTGAATCCTGGCAGGTGCCCACCCTTTGCAGCTATAACAGCTTCAACTCTTCTGGGAAGGCCATCCACAAGGTTTAGGAGGGTGTCTATGGGAAGGTTGGACCATTCTTCCAGAAGCACATTTGTGAGGTCAGACACTGATGTCGGACGAGAAGGCCTGGCTCACAGTCTCCGCTCTAATTCATCCCAAAGGTGTTCTGTCAGGTTTAGATCAGGACTCTGTGCAGGCCAGTCAAGTTCCTCCACCCCAAACTCGCTCCTCCATGTCTTTATGGACCTTGCTTTATGCACTGGTGCACAGTCATGTTGGAACAGGTAGGGGCCATCCCCAAACTCTTCCCACAAAGTTGGGAGCTTAAAATTGTCTAAAATGTCTTGGTATGCTGACGGCTTAAGATTTCCCTTCACTGGAACTAGGGGACCAAGCCCAACCCCTGAAAAACAACCCCACACCATAATTCGCCCCACCAAACCCTACACTTGGCACAATGTACTCAGGCAAGTACTGTTCCCCGGGCAACCGCCAAACGCAGATACGTCCATCAGATTGCCAGACAGAGAAGCATGATTTGTCACTCCAGAGAACACATCTCCACTGCTCTAGAGTCCAGTGGTGGCGTGCTTTACACCATGGCATCTGACGCTTTGCATTGCACTTGGTGATGTAAGGCTTGGATGCAGCTGCTTGGCCATGGAAACCCATTCCATGAAGCTCTCTACGCACTGTTTGTGTGGCCTTCAGATTAACAGTTTGGAGGTCTTTAGCTATTGACTCTGCAGAGAGTTGGCAACTTCTGCGCATTGTGCGCTTCGGCATGCGCTGCCCTTGCTCTGTCATGTGACGTGGCCTACCACTTGGTGGCTGAGCTGCTGTTGTTCCCAGTTGCTTCCACTTTGTTATATTCCCACTAACAGTTGACTGTGGAATATTTAGTAGCCAGGAAATGTCACGGATGGACTTATTGCACAGGTTGCGACCTATCATGGTACCACGCTTGAAGTCACTGAGCTCCTGAGAGTGACCCATTCTTTCACAAATGTTTGTAGAAGCAGTCTGCATGCCTAGGTGCTTGATTTTATACACCTGTGGCCATGGAGGGGATTGGAACACCTGAATCTAAAGATTTGGAGGGGTGTCCCCAATACTTTTGGCAATATAGTGTATGAAGAATATTTGCTTTCTGTTGTTTTTGTTGCCATTTTTTTCAGAAGTGTTTAAATGTAGTGGCTGCATTAGATTTATTTTTTCCCCTTTATTTTCACCTGGTGATCCTGCCAGTAACACACCACCTGTCTCAGGCTAGGTTCACACCTATGCAGTTTGTGTTAGAGTTTATTCTGCATTGCGTTTTGCACCTGCATTTTGACACGTTTTACGGGGGGGTTTTTTTTTACTTTTTTTTTTTTTTTTTGCTTGTTGCTAGGCAGATTTAAAAAGCAAAACACATCAAAAACGCACTACATACTTTTCTGCAGCATTTCCATTGAAGTTTATAATGCCAAAACACAGATGTGAACGTGTCTCATAGGAAATCATATTAAATGGACTGTAGTAGTGCATTTCTGCAAAGCGCAAAACGCTACAGAAAACGCTTAGGCGTGAACCTAGGGTCAGTCTAGGTTCGAACTTAAGTGTTTTCTGCAGCATTTTGCAGAAACACAGTACAGTCCATTTAACATGATTTCCTATGGGACAGGTTCACATCTCCGCATTTTCACCCGGTGCGGATTTTGGAAATGGTCAGGGACTTTTTTAAAATGCAAAATGTTGCGTGTTGGTTCAATTGACTTCAATGGAGACACTGCAGAAATACATGTAGTGCATTTTTGATGCGTTTTTTTATGCATATTGCGCTTTAATCTGCCCAGCAACAAGTTGAAAAAAAAAAGTAAAATGCGTCAAAAACGCACTGCAAAAAACCACTGCAGAAATGGATCAAATGCAAACTGCATAGGTGTGAACCTAGCCTTAGGTTGTCTCCACTCTGGATGGAGGAAGAATGGAGACACCTTTGGACAGCAGCATTGTCAGTCTAGGACAGGGGCGGACTGACCATTTGGAAACTCGGGCACTGCCCGAGGGCCCGGGGTCAGTAGGGGGCCCCATGAGATGCCCCTGGTACCTTTTTCATAGGCTTTTTTGAGTTTGGCCAAGGACACAGGAGCCCCATGATCCCCATTGCCCGGGGGCCCCATGAGTTGTCAGTCCGCCTCTGGTCTAGGGAGAGGGGGGTTAAATCCAAGCTTTAGCTCACACTTTTCAAGCAGATTTCTGGGATAAGGCCTCATTCACACTCCGTGTAGCAGGAGCTCACATTCCCACTCGCAACTTTGTGTGGGCGATTTTTACGCGATTTTCTGTGTCACCTGTTTACTTCAATTGGCTGCCCTATGCGTGTTTTTCACCCAAAATAAGCTCCTGGTCCTGTTTGGATGGTGAGCTTTACGTGATTTTTAAAGGTGTGTTTTGCCTTGAATCCCGCACAATTCTGTCACGTGACCATCATGGCAAAATCGCACCGCCTTTGGGGTTGCATTTTGAATAGATGGCAAAAACACGTGTCGCTTGTTTTGCAGCAATTGCGAAACACGGCGATTTTTGCCTGCCGTTCCAAGTTGCCAAGTGTGAATGGGGCCTAAAGATGATTGTAAACACCCCTGTCAGTGGCGAATGGTTTGCCGCAAGTCTCTAACTGCCACTTTTGCTGGACAGCTTGCTCTGTTAAAGGAAGATTTATTTATTTCAGGTACTTATATAGCACCGTCAATTTACACAGCACCAGGGGTGGACTGACAACTCATGGGGCCCCCAGGCAATAGGAAATCATGGGGCCCCTGTGTCCTCACCCACACTCAAACCATATGCAAAAAAGTGTATGAAAGGTACCAGGGGCATCTCATGGGGCCCCCAACTGACCCCGGGCCCTCGGGCAGTGCCCAAGTGGCTAAATGGTCAGCACTTTACATATATGTTCTACATTCACATCAGTCCCTAACCCTCAAGGGGTGTACAATCTAAGGTCCCTAACCCACATTCTTACATACACATACTAGGGCCAATTGAGACAGGATCCAATTAACCTACCAGCATGTCTTTGGAGTGTGGAGGAACCCGGAGTGCCCGGAGGAACCCCACACAGGCACAGGGAGAACATGCAAACTGCAGGCAGGTGGTGCTGTGGTTGGGATTCAAACCAACGACCCTAGTACTGCCAGGTGAAAGTTCTAACCATTAAGCCACTATGCTGCCTGAAAAACAACAGACTTAATAGCTGGATCACCAGATGAAAATAAAGTTAAAGAAAAAAAAAGGAAAATGAATGCAGCCGCCACATCTAAAAACTCGCCACACATGTTACAATCGGATTGTACAATCTCCTCTAGCTCTACTAAAAACATTTCAGTGCAAGGGGCCTGCCTGATTGGATACAAATTGATTGGTTAGATTAGGTAGGTCTTCATATTACATAGATTTGGAAAATTTAAAGTTGATGGAAGATAAATTGTATGGTCAGATTGTGGTGTGTATGACGACTCTCTAAGCACTGGGTCAGTGGTGATTTATTTAATTTTTTGCTTTTTGGGTTTAATACCGCTTTAACCCCTTAATGACCGCAATACATCCGCTTAAATCCGAACGCCCCTTGTGATTGGACACTTATCAACCCCTTATACCCTTTCCTGGGAAGCAGTGCGGCGTCTGTATCTTGTGACCGATGTGATTGGCTCTCAGCGTGGTCACGTGATTGGGCGCCCAATCAGAAGCTTAGAATAGGAGTTGTCAGTGGGAGCACGTTCTCAGCAGACAAACATTTTATCCCTGTTGGATGCATTTGTGTGGTGGCTGGGTATTAAGAGCCCAATCGCACTTTTGCGACTTGTCATGTAACTTTGGGTTCCATGAAAATTTGCCACCACCCCATGTTTCCTAATGGGTGCCATTCATATCTGTGCGACTTCAAAGTAGTTCCTGCACTACTTTGGTCCGACTTTCATGCAACTTGAGGGCCATAGACTTCAATGTAAACCCTCCAAAGCTGCATGAAAGTCACACCTCAATGTTGTACATGCGACTTGTGTGCGACCTTTGTACAGCAGAAACAATTATCCTTGGTCAAAGCCAAAGTCACACTCATCCAAAGTTGCATCAAGTCGCACAACTGTGAATGGACCCTTAGCCTACCTCTTTATTCTGCGTTAGATGGTTAGCGAGAGGTCCCCCTTGCAGCAGAATGTATTTCCAGTTCTCAGTCCCGTTATCAAACAGAAAAACCCGTCACAGAGTTCCTGCCAAGTGACACATACAGATGCTGCTAATGGTCTGCAGATCTAAGCTTGAGCCTGGGTTCACATACATACGGTGCGGCATATCGCATGTGATTCGCACAGGAACCGCACCGCATTCAGTGCAAATCACATGCAAATTCTGTACGGTGCGATTTGAGCCATACATTTTGTATGGCTCAAATCGCACTGCATCGGCACCAAAAAAGGTGCAGGACCCTTTTTTGGTCTGTAGTAGATTCATATCGCATGGGTATTCACAACTATGCAATCTGATTCTGCACATCGCACAGCGTTTTGCGATCTGATTTTGGGGTGTTGTTAACTTAACATACACACCTGCAGTGGTTTGCATGAACGGGGAGCAATTGTGATTCGGTGCGGAAAACCGCACCATTGTGAACCCAGGATCAGGGGTGGACTGACAACTCATGGGGCCCCTGTGTCCTTGCCCAAACTCAAAAAAGCCTATGAAAAAGGTACCAGGGGCATCTCATGGGGCCCCCTACTGACCCCGGGCCCTCGGGCAGTGCCCGAGTTTCCAAATGGTCAGTCCGCCTCTGCCCCGGATTAAAAAACACTCAACTCAAGAAACGAATAAATCTGAAGCATTGAAAATGATTTGGTGCTTTTCTTGAGTTGAGCCAGCAGGGGGCAGTGTTGTACTTTCTGCATGCAGTGGTATCCCCAGACATAGAATCCAGTATCAGCTGGAAGAATCGGGCGCAGCACTGCGATCTTTATAAATAGGCCCCTTCATCATTATACATTTAGGATTCGTTTTCAATTTCCTCTGTCGGAGAAAACAACAACTTTCCACCTGTGGGATCGTTATCAATGCATTGACAGAGTCACAAATGTGGATTCTGTTCCCTCTGGTGCCGGAGAGCCATTGCCGAGGGAGACATTCAAAAATGGAATCGAGTTAAACCGGATCAAAGCGAGCGCAGTGTGAGGACGGCGGAGGACGCAACGCGGGAAGGGTTGTGTTCACACAGATGTTTGATGTATACAGCAGGCACAGGTGTCCTCTTCACCAGTGTTCAGGCCGTGCTGTTTAGTTATATGCAGCCAATAGGAGTGATTACAGCTTTGTTCACCCTTTCCGTCCCGATGTTTGGGGGGCTCAGCGGGGAAAAGACTGCGGACATACTGTAGGAGATGGTCAGAGACTGTGGACATATGTAGGAGATGGTTAGAAACTGTGGACATACTACAGGAGATGGTCAGAGACTGTGGACATACTGTAGGAGATGGTCAGAGACTGCAAACATACTACAGGAGATGGTCAGAGACTGCGGACATACTACAGGAGATGGTCAGAGACTGCGGACATACTACAGGAGATGGTCAGAGACTGCGGACATACTACTGGAGATGGTCAGAGACTGCGGACATACTACAGGAGATGGTCAGAGACTGCGGACATACTACAGGAGATGGTCAGAGACTGCGGACATATTACAGGAGATGGTCAGAGACTGCGGACATACTACAGGAGATGGTCAGAGACTGCGGACATACTACAGGAGATGGTCAGAGACTGCGGACATACTACAGGAGATGGTCAGAGACTGCGGACATACTACAGGAGATGGTCAGAGACTGCGGACATACTACAGGAGATGGTCAGAGACTGCGGACATACTACAGGAGATGGTCAGAGACTGCGGACATACTACAGGAGATGGTCAGAGACTGCGGACATACTACAGGAGATGGTCAGAGACTGCGGACATACTACAGGAGATGACCAGAGACTGCAGACATACTACAGGAGATGGCCAGAGACTGTGGACATACTACAGGAGATGGTCAGAGACTGCGGACATACTACAGGCAGGGGCGGACTGACCAAACTCGGGCACTGCCCGAGGGCCCGGGGTCATTAGGGGGCCCCATGAGATGCCCCTGGTACCTTTTTCATAGGCTTTTTTGAGTTTGGGCAAGGACACAGGGGCCCCATGATCTCCTATTGCCCTGGGGCCCCATGAGTTGTCAGTCCGCCCCTGGCTACAGGAGATGGTCAGAGACTGTGCACATGATACAGAAGATGGTCAGAGACTGTGGACACACTACAGGACATGGTCAGAGACTGTGGACACACTACAGGACATGGTCAGAGACTGTGGACACACTACAGGACATGGTCAGAGACTGTGGACACACTACAGGACATGGTCAGAGACTGTGGACACACTACAGGACATGGTCAGAGACTGTGGACACACTACAGGACATGGTCAGAGACTGTGGACACACTACAGGACATGGTCAGAGACTGTGAACATACTATATGAGATGGATATGCTACAGGTGATGGTCAGAGACTAAAGACCTACTATAGGACATGGTCAGAGACTGTGGATATGCTACAGGAGATGGTCAGAGACTGTGGACACACTACAGGACATGGTCAGAGACTGTGGACACACTACAGGACATGGTCAGAGACTGTGGACACACTACAGGACATGGTCAGAGACTGTGGACACACTACAGGACATGGTCAGAGACTGTGGACACACTACAGGACATGGTCAGAGACTGTGGACACACTACAGGACATGGTCAGAGACTGTGGACACACTACAGGACATGGTCAGAGACTGTGTGGACACACTACAGGACATGGTCAGAGACTGTGGACACACTACAGGACATGGTCAGAGACTGTGAACATACTATATGAGATGGATATGCTACAGGTGATGGTCAGAGACTAAAGACCTACTATAGGACATGGTCAGAGACTGTGGACATGCTACAGGAGATGGTCAGAGACTGCAGACCTACTACAGGAGATGGTCAGAGACTGCGGACATACTATATGAGATGGATATGCTACAGGTGATGGTCAGTGACTGTGGACACACTACAGGAGATGGTCAGAGACTGCGGACATACTACAGGAGATGGTCAGAGACTGCGGACGTACTACAGGAGATGGTCAGAGACTGCGGACGTACTACAGGAGATGGTCAGAGACTGCGGACATACTACAGGAGATGGTCAGAGACAGTGGACATACTACAGGAGATGGTCAGAGACTGTGGAAACACTACAGGTGATGGACAGAGATTGGGGACACACTACAGGACATGGTCAGAGACTGCGGACACACACTACAGGAGATGGTCATACACTGTGGATATGCTACAGGTGATGGTCAGAGACTACAGACATGATACAGGCAGGGGCGTATTTACCACAAGGCAAACAAGGCATTTTTCAGGGGGGCAGCACCTCCTCCTAGAAAAAGGGATGAAAGGAGCCTGAGACTCACATTCCAAAGCTTTGAAGATGATTGTCTTTCTCTCTATCTCTCTATCGCTGGGGGGGGGGGGGGGGGGGGGTATTTAGTGGAAGGCTCTCCCAGGTGGGGGGGGGGGGCAGGGATGTCAGTCAATGTCAGGCTCTCTGTGCGGAAGGAGGAAGGGGGGGGGGGGTTGTTGCTGTTTGTTTGTGTCCGTGGGGGCAGTCACTTTTTGTGTTGCCCAGGGCAGCACAAAACCTAAATACTGTACACCACTGGATACAGTTGATGGTCAGAGACTGTGAGCACACTGCAGGAGACAGAATGGGAATATGTTACAGTCTCTGCAGTATGCCATGTCTCTGACCATCACCTGCAGTATGCCCGCAGTCTCTGACCATCTCCTGTAGCATGTCCGCAGTCTCTGACCATCTCCTGTAGTATGTCCGCAGTCTCTGACCATCTCCTGTAGTATGTCCGCAGTCTCTGACCATCTCCTGTAGTATGTCCGCAGTCTCTGACCATCATCTGTAGTATGTCCGCAGTCTCTGACCATCATCTGTAGTATGTCCACAGTCTCTGACCATCATCTGTAGTATGTTCACAATCTCTGACCATCTCATGTAGTATATTCACAATCTCTGACCATCACCTGTAGTATGTCTGCAGTCTCTGACCATCACCTGTAGTATGTCCGCAATCTCTGACAATCACCTGCAGTATGTCCGCAGTCTCTGACCATCACCTGTAGTATGTCCGCAGTCTCTGACCATCACCTGTAGTATGTCCACAATCTCTGACAATCACCTGCAGTATGTCCACAATCCTCTGACCATCACCTGTAGTATGTCCGCAATCTCTGACAATCACCTGCAGTATGTCCGCAGTCTCTGACCATCACCTGTAGTATGTCCACAATCTCTGACAATCACCTGCAGTATGTCCGCAGTCTCTGACCATCACCTGTAGTATGTCCACAATCCTGTGACCATCACCTGTAGTATGTCCACAATCTCTGACAATCACCTGCAGTATGTCCACAGTCTGTGACCATCACCTGCAGTATGTCCACAGTCTCTGACAATCACCTGCAGTATGTCCGCAGTCTCTGACAATCACCTGCAGTATGTCCGCAATCTCTCCGCAGTCTCTGACAATCTCCTGTAGTATGTCCACAATCTATGACCATCACCTGCAGTATGTCCCCAGTCTCTGATCATCTCCTGTAGTATGTCCACAATCTGTGACCATCACCTGCAGTATGTCCACAGTCTCTGACAATCACCTGCAGTATGTCCGCAGTCTCTGACAATCTCCTGTAGTATGTCCACAATCTATGACCATCACCTGCAGTATGTCCGCAGTCTCTGACAATCACCTGCAGTATGTCCGCAGTCTCTCACAATCACCTGCAGTATGTCCGCAGTCTCTCACAATCACCTGCAGTATGTCCCCAGTCTCTGATCATCTCCTGTAGTATGTCCACAATCTGTGACCATCACCTGCAGTATATCTGCAGTCTCTGACCGTTGGGGTCCAAGGGCCACACAAAAAGTAGCACGGGGCCACATTTTGCTCAGAAAATCTCTTCTACAATCCGAAGCCTCTGTGCACAAGGACTTCTAATACAGCAGTATATAATAGCCTACACGCTCCCAGAAACATTGACCTATTGCTGGCTCTTCATGCTGGGATGGGGCCATCCAAGAATAGGTCAGCGCCCCCTCCTGGACATACATGGTGGTGTCACTGTGAGCCGTGCGGATTGTGGCAAGGCTTTTATTGTTCCCTCCAGCCACCTGCGGTCACATACTTTTAGACTAAACCTTGCCGTTTGTTCCATGCGTTTGACTTTCTCTGTAAAGCTCCCTGGAACAGAAGAACCAACCCATGTCCAGACCACTCTCTGATCCTGACGGTTTTCTGTGCCACAAAGAGCCCAGGAGGTGTGCGGCGGTGTGAGTGTCTCGGGAATACTTAGGAAGAGGATAAAACAGAGCAGCCACAATACCAGCTGAACATCCCAGGAACGGGTAAATACCCAGAGAATGAGTATTACTGTCCATCCAGTCCTGAGATTTACACAGCTCTACAGCATAGAACAGACCTGTCTGGCAGGGCAGGAGACCTGATTATTCTCTGCTGCAGTTTAGAATCACTCACCGATCTAGACCCTCTCCCAGCCTCTGATTGGACAGTAAAAGAAAAAGAAGATGACTGATGAGCTGATTTCTATGTCACTCTGCTCTCTCCTCCTATCAGCATGTTACTTGGTAGCACAGGGGCCATTTTTTTGGGGTTATATCTTCTCCCTCTTCTGTTTTGAGCTCTGCTGCACAGATGATTGCAAGGGGCAGGTACCAGGTCAATCACAGGTGCTTAAATTGCTTGCATTTAAAGCTGAATTTTAACCACTTCAGTACCGGGCACTTTCACCCCCTTCCTGCCCAGGCCAATTTTCAGCTTTCAGCGCTTTCACACTTTGAATGACAATTGCACGGTCATGCAACATTGTACCCATATGAAATTTTTTAGGAGACAGAGCTTTTTTTTGTGGTATTTAATGACCACTGGGGGGTTTATTGTGTTGCCTAAAAAACAAAAAAGTTTTTTTTTCTTTGTTTTAATGTTATAAAATTTTAACATAAATTTGCAAATAAGTAACTTTTCTTTTTCACGGATGAGGCTGCACTATACCATAGGAGGTCATGTTAAATGAACTATAGTGCGTTTCTGCGCTGCGGTGCGAACCTAGGGTTAGGTCATTTCAAAGAAGGAAAAAAAATCCCAGGTAATAACAACTTTGTATTTGGCTGGACCTTTCCTGCGATCTGCTGATTCTGCGCATGTTCCTTATGGGCCCTTTCACTCCGATCTGATGAAAAAAAAAAAAAACAGTAAAAACCACACATGTCTTTTGATACGTTTCCCATTGATTTCTATGGGAGATGCATTTTTGGTGCGCCTTTTAAACAGGGCACCAAAGATGCAGCACGCAGAACTTTTCAAAACGCATCACACCCCCAGCGCAACTGGCGAGGAGTTCTATAGGATATAAAAGGCAAATATTTTTACTGCGGTTTTTCTTTCGCTTTAAGCAGGGTAAGGGCTCATTCACAGCAGATGCGCTGGGGTGCGTTTGTGAGCTCATTCTCACCAAAAATAATGCTTCCCTATCAGGGGCGGACTGACCATTTGGAAACTCAGGCACTGTCTGAGGGCCCGGGGTCAGTAGGGGGCCCCATGAGATGCCCCTGGTACCTTTTTCATAGGCTTTTTTGAGTTTGGGCAAGGACACAGGGGCCCCATGATCCCCTATTGCCCGGGGGCCCCATGAGTTGTCAGTCCGCCCCTGTTCCCTGTCAATACAGTTCACACCAGCATGTTGCATTGCATTGTATTTATCTAGCAGTGAAAAAAGTATGGCATGCGCAGCGCAATGTAATGCATTCAAATGCGCACTGACACAACGCACTGCAATGCAAAGACAAAAAAACAAACGCAACACATTACAAAGAAATGCACTTCACTGCAACGTGTATGCGATAATGGGTGCATTGTGTGAATCAGCCCCACAAGCTCAGCAAAAATGCATTAATGTGAAAGGGCCCTAAGTGCCTGGACATACCGGTGCGATTTGCGAATTAAAATCGCACCTGAAATCGCATCTAATGAATGTAAAGGTCAGTGTCTTAACGTGCGATTTGCTAACGTAGTTTTCGCCTTTTTCTGCAGTTTTGTTGCCATTTCACATTCATAGAATCAGGGGCAGACTGACATCTCATGGGGCCCCTGTGTCCTTGCCCAAACTCAAGAAAACCTATGAAAAGGGTACCAGGGGCATCTCATGGGGCCCCCTACTGACCCCGGGCCCTCGGGCAGTGCCCAACTTTCCAAATGGTCAGTCCGCCCCTGCATAGAATATAATGGAAATCGCACTACAAATTGCAAGAAATTGTTGAAAATCTTCACAAGTAGCAATAAAGTCTTCAGAAATCGCACTGAGCCTGGGTTCACACTTGTGCGGTGCGACATATCGCATGTGATTCACACAGGAACCGCACCGCATTCCTGTGCAAATAAAATGCAAATTCTGTGCGGTGCAATTTGAGCCATAAAATTTGTATAGCTCAAATCGCACCACATCCACACCAGGAAGGTGCAGGACCCTTTTTTTGGTCTGCAGTAGAATCAGATCGCATGGGTATTCACACCTATGCGATCCGATTCTGCACATCGCACCGCGTTTTGTGGACCTATTTTGGGGTGTTGTTAACATACAGTCCCGCAGTGGTTCGCATGAATGGGGTGCGATTTGTGATGCAGTGTGGAATTCACACAGAAACTGCTGCAAATTCTGCACCGCATCAGTGGGAACCCAGTCTGAAATTGCACACAAATCGCATGATTTTAAATTGAAGCTGTGTGACCAGTGACTAAGACTAGGTTCACACCTATGCAGTGTGCTTTTGATCCGTTTCTGCAGTGCGTTTTGTGTTGCATTTTGCATTTTTGCTGCGTTTTGCATTTTTTTTCCTTGTTGCTAGGCAGATTTAAAATTCAAAACGCACAAAAAATGCATCAAAAACGTGGCAAAAAAAAATCAAAAACTAAGCAAAAACACACTACGTGTTTTTCTGCACCATTTCCATTGAAGTCTATAGAACCAAAAATGCAATTTTTTGTGTTTTAAAAAAGTCCCCGACCCTTTCCAAAAAACACACCGGGTGAAAACGTGGAGAATGTGAACCTGTCTCATAGGAAATCATGGTCACATCAAGCCAACTTTGAAATCGTGCGACTTCACTGTAAGTCGCACGATTTCAAAGTCGGGGGACATGCCCATTTCAGGTGCATTTTGCTGCGTTTTTGCATTTTTTTTTTTCTTGTTCCTAGGCAGATTTAAAACGCAAAACACATTAAAAATGCATTAAAAACGTGGCAAAAACGCATAAAAAATGCACTACATGCTTTTCTGCAGCATTTCCATTGAAATCTATAGAATCAAAAACGCAACCCCGGTCACATCAAGCCGACTTTGAAATTGTGCAACTTTACTGTAAGTCACACGATTTCAAAGTCGGGGGACATGCCGATTTCAGGTGCATTTTCTGTGTTTTTGATGCGTCTAACATTTTTTTTCCCCTTGTTGCTAGGCAGATTTAAAACGCAAAACGTATAAAAAATGCATCATTGATGTGGCAAAAACTCATCAAATACGCATCAAAAATGCACTACATTCTTTTTTGCAGCAATTCCATTAAAGTCTATTGAACCAAAAATGCTACTTTTTGCGTTTAAAAAAGTCCACGACCCTTTCCAAAAACGCACCAGGTGAAAACGTGGAGAATGCGAACCTGTCACATAGGAAATCATGTCAGCAGCCTGGTCACATCAAGCCGACTTTGAAATCGTGTGACTTACAGGGAAGTTGCACAATTTCAAGGTCGGAGACATGTCGATTTCAGGTGCATTTTGCTGCGTTTCTTTTTTCCTTGTTGCTAGGCAGATTTAAAACGCAAAACATAAAAAATGCATCAAAAATCGTGTCAAAAAAACATAAAATATGAAGCAAAAAAAACGCATCTGGTGAGTGCGCAATTTTATTACTTCCATCTGCACGAGCACCAGAATATCTGTGAAGTAGTCACTTTCAGAGCACGACTGTTATTTTTGGAACTTTTTAGATTTTAAGACCATATACCCATGAACTTTTATTAATTTTATCATAAAGGCAATTTATTAGATTTATTATTTCTAGCGCTGCACTTCATTATATGCGTTTTTTGATGCGGTTTGCATTTTTTTTCCTCGTTGCTAGGCAGATTTAAAACGCAAAACACATAAAACAATGAATCAAAAATTGTGGCAAAAACACATAAAAAAACAAAGCAAAAACGCACTACATACTTTTCTGCAGCGTTTCCATTGAAGTCTATAGAACCAAAAACGCAAATTTTTGCGTTTTAAAAAAAAAGTCCCTGACCCTTTCCAAAAAAACGCACCAAATGAAAACGTGGAGAATGTGAACCTGGTTCATAGGAAATCATGTTAACACCCCAGTCACATCAAGCCGACTTTGAAATCGTGCAGCTTCACTGTAAGTCGCATGATTTCAAAGTTTGGAGACATGCCAATTTCAGGTGCATTTTTTGATGCGTTTTTCAATTTTTTTTCTTGTCGCTAGCCAGATTTAAAACGCAAAATGCATCATTGATGTGGCAAAAACACATAAAAATGCTTACAGTAAAGTTGCACAATTTCAAAGTCGGGGGACATGCCGATTTCAGGAGCATTTTGCTGCGTTTTGCATTTTTTTTCCCTTGTTCCTAGGCAGATTTAAAACGCAAAACACATACAAAATGCATCAAAAAC